ATGCTACGCGCACTCGTACTAGATTCAACCAGTAAAATTAATGGTAGTTCATGAGAAAGAATTTGTCAAAATTAAAATCCTCGATTACAAGCGTGTGTTACAGGGTGATTGGACTGAATTCTATAATTCAAAATGAACATAATTATGACAGCATTAAAAGGAAAACGCAGCCCCTTTCATATAATACCACATTTATGAACATGGTGATGATAGGAATTGGAATCATAGAGCTACAACAAATTAAATCAGCCACGTCTAAATCAATCTGCGGGTGATAGCTTGTTTAACTGATCAACAATGAAATCAATATTCAATTAGTGAACATGTTTTTGTATGCATTTAATTATCTGTCTTTAGATGCTGTTGTCTTGTTTAATATGAAATGTTAAATCAATGAGCATGAGTAGATAGACCATTTAACTGAATACCAAATATGTTTTCTCTTTTTTTCTGTTTCGAATAATACTGACGTGTAAGTTAGGCCAGTAGTCATTGTCAGTTCCCATTCTTGTATAGCGCATAATACTTAGTCTCTATGCGCTTACAAAGAGCTTCAGAAATTATTACCCTAGCTTCACCCTAAGTAGAATGAACTTCAGTGTATCTGTACAAATTACTTTTGCCCTGCATTAATTATCTAAAGCCATTTATATTCATTAATTCATGAAAATATCATAGCATAAATTCCTTTTATTTATAATGCAAAAAATTTACCATAACCCGTTCATAAATTTAAATAATTCGGCTTACTTAAAAAAAAAGAGGTAATGTATAAATAGAGACGCTTTTATATTAAACATTCTGTCTTATTTTGTTTACTATTCTCCTCCTTCTCTCTCTCTCTCTCTCTCTATCTCTCTCTCTCATACACACACACGAACACGCACACACACACACATACACACGCACACACATACACATGCCACACAGGCTTTACGCCAAGACCACATCTGCCATCTCTCTCTCTCTTGCTCACTTCTAATTATCTCTATATGATATGTTTCCTGAAGAAAAAAACGACTCAATACATATATACATAATTTAATGAATAAATAATAGATTAATCAAATAAATAAATTAATTAACAATCAATGAATAAATTTAACAAAAAAATAGATAAATGAATAGGCGAATAGATTGATACGTGTAGGCCTACAAGTAAATTGAAAATAAAACGCAGGGAAAATTTATATTATTTTCGTTAAATATTTATTTGATGCTCTTCCAATTTACATATATAAACATCAGTATAACGTACATTGTTTGTATACATATATTTTTTCATGGAAATCAAAGAACTGAAGACATCGTACAAATAAGAATATCCGTTAACAGTTTTCAAAACTTATATGGTAAATTATCCGGGGGTTCTCTCGTCAAATAACCGTATGATGGTTATTAAAGTCACAGTACATCACATGTCTGTAGGTATAGTCATGGATTGTTCTCAATGTATGTTAGTGACGTGCTGCACAACCGCTCATCTATTAGCTTAATGGTATAAATTCGTGGGATAAGCGTGTGTTAGCACGCACTCAAAAGTAAAATATTAAAAACGACAAGAGTCTAGTCAAGTAATGGCTTTTTACTTAGTAATAATTACATGTAGTTAATTTCCGGTAAGTCATACATAGTTAGTCATGTCATTGGTGTCGTGTTGATTTCAGAGTAGATAAAAGGCTAGTCAGCCACAATAGTCAAATTTCATTAACCTCTGTCCAAAAATAAGTCATCTTGTTTTCTTCTTTCAGTCCGTATCCGTACGAGAGATGGTTAACGTCATTAAAAAAACACACCTAAAGTCTATATATAGTTCCCTTTTCATGCTTTTTCAGGTTTCTTTTATCTTTATTCGATGAATAGCAAACAAACACCTACAAGTATAAAAAAAAAAAAAAAAAAAAGCTGATGAAAATGTTTGTTCTTTGTAAGTGCAAAGAGGTGAAAATGAATAGCTAATATACTAAATCATTCATATTATATGAAAGCAAATTTAACGTCATATTCATTAAAGTCTTAAAGTAGATAAAAGCAATATGTTCGTCGGTTACCGTGGTTACTACCATGGATATATTGCAAGTGGTCTGTATTTATAGTAAGAAATAGCGCTATAGAATTAATTACTGTCCGCGTGCGGTTTGCTACAAACGCTGGTAATTGCTCCAATTACAGATACACTTAAAGTTTATTTCGATAATAAATAAGGGGTCATCAAAGTCAGGGCATTGTCTTAAAAGTGTTTGAACTTTTTTCATGTCAATCTGACAATTGTCGGTTTCGTCCTAAGCCATGCATGATCATATGGGTCGATTTTTTGTCAGAGTTTAGTCGTGTCTCACCAGTGTCACACATTGGGCAGACATTCCTAGAAGTCTAATTATCAAGTCAAAGTCTACCTTTTATTAGTACCATGAGTCATTATTCAGGTCACTTATAAATGTTACGAGTCCAGACTTTGAACACAATTCTATTTACTTGCCTGTGACGAGGCGAAATTTTTTTGAAAAGAGGAGCAAATCGTGTATAAATAGAGATTGAAAATCAAAAGCGTTATCGGTTTAAAATTCATTATAGATTTGAATAAATTGACTTCTAAAAGTGCTGTTGATGATCTCGCATTCCAACCTCTTGTTTGTAAGAGTTTCGGAAAGTAGGAAGTATTGTTAATAATGTTCGTCACACTAAAAGTACCAATTAATTTCCATTCATTTCAGAAAAATGACCTGTCATTTAGGCAAATAAAACATAGTCTTAAAATACCAGATCCAGCAAAATGGAAAACATGTTGTTTAGCTAGGTAGTCTATTAAGGTCGATGTTTCTGCAGCAGCAGAGTCAGTCGTAGTATAGGTTAATAACCTCTGCATCTTTGTCATGTATATTAAGTCTTAATTATAGATATGCAAGTAGGCATATATATTCCCGTTTGGAGGGTTGCTTTGAAAAGACAAACCGACAAAAATAAAACTTGTCCAAGTCACGACTTACTTTCATATGTTTATTTGACATTCCATGTTTAGTTTGTAGCATTTAATTTACCGCAAATAGTTACCCAATAGAAGAAAACAAATTTAATTCCTGTATAGGGTTGTATATTACTAATGACGAAGGCCATTACCTTGTGAGAAACGTGTTAATCGATGTGCATCATGATAAAGTAGGTAAGTCGGTAAAGAAAATACAAGACATATACGGTCCGCCGTGTCTTTTCTTATCAGTCAGAGTATGTCAACACATAAGACAGAATAATAAATACGTCCATAAGGCATCAACATTGAACATATGCATTCGCATATCTATTGATTCTTGACAACCTGAAGGCTTTCTCGAGGCTTGTCCGCCATAGCAACATACTATATATTCAGACTGGATTACAAGTGCTGTAGATCATTCATTTATAACTAGTTAATGGAATATTTCGTCAGTATAGGTCCCCAGGAAAGAAAAATCCATAAATTTGAATATGTTAGTGACCGGTCTATACCTTGATTTGTCCTAAACATTCTGTCACGACCGTTACGTTACGTCCTGGTTGTCCGATCATGAACATCATGTAGGCCTACATATATAGTTCAGTTGTCCCTGTAAGTGTGTACGTGATATAGCAGTTATGTCACTCTATGCAATATATTATTTATAGACGTCCAGTTGTGTATTTCAAGTCATTTCTTTCTTCTAGTCACTATAAACTCTCTCTGATTGTCTCTTCTGCAAAAAGGAAAGGAAAGACCTCATTTTCTGACATTCAGAAATCCAAAATATTTTGTACATACTTATATAATCTTCATGTTATCATTTATGATTTGCTTTCAATTGATCTACATCAGACATTTTATTAAATGTAAGCAATATAAATTTGAAAAAGATCGTCTTGGTCTTTATTTTCCACTTTAAACACAAATAAATTTAGGATGTAACAGTAAATTTTGTTTTAGAATCGGTTTCAAACCTGTCCTTAGCAAACATGACGAGAATTCTTTGAAATTCATGGCATACAGAACATCAAACATAACATATAGATACATAGTTAAAGTTTAGACAGCTTAACATTGTAGATATTAAAGAGAAGTTCGAGTTCTGGGAAGAGGCGAAAAGTCATTTGTGAGCGTTATCATTGTTATTATGCAAGTGTGGAAGAATATCAGATACAAAATGTTCCCAGAAAAGCATGGCTCTTCAAATGCCTTAATATTCTAAATATGACATGTAACAGCATTAAACTCGGGACAGATTTTTATGCCACATGTTTGTGCAGTCACATATACATCTTTCTGTGTACAGTGCTTGTAACTTTACCAAGACTAGGCCAAATTTCTTATCATTTGATGATTCCAGAACCTTGCTGTACAAACCAATACTTATAAGCTAATGATCAACCTTTTCTTTTCGATTCCACACTGTTTTTTTCACAATGCAGTCGCTTGACCAGAACTCAACCTTATCTTTAACCAAGTGGTATAGAATAATGCAAGCCCTCCGTGAACAAATTTGAAAATTAAACTCTACAACACCTTCGGTTTGAATTCGTATCCAAACGGATGTCGGACCGAATTTGGGCGATTTCTGGTTCGCGAGATTTATAAATAAATATATCGAATTTCAAAGCTAGCCATAACCCTAAACCCTTCGACATGCGCGAAAACCTACCAAGAACGTGAAGAGGAAGGACATTTTCACGTAAGATAACTGAGCCCCTTGGAAACTAACCCCTGAGCGCTAGCCCATATATTTTCAGATAACTGGCACCTAGGAATGACTACTCCCAAGGACATGTTCTCAGGCGAAACTTCTGCAGGACGAATGTCCACAGAACTGACCGCTGTCTCATAAACCTTGTTATCAATATACGATCATAGTAATAAGCTACTAATATCCCTGCATTTGATTGTCATTGATCAGATTTGTCATAGATCTGGGGGCCCGTTTCACAAAGCCTTTTTTCAATGACAAATGAAAAAAGAATCCGTGGCAAATCTGCTGATAACCAATCAAAAGCGAGGATTTCAGTAACTTATAACAAAGACTGTCATTTGTCACTGAAGACAAGTTTTGTGAAACGCCCCCTGCGCCAGTTTATATTGATAACAAGTTTTAGAAAAAGGGCACTGGAGCGATGTCCCTCGGATGGCAATTGTCTGAGGTAATCGTCTAAGTAGTTTAATTGTCCTAGGGTATTGTCTGATGAGTACTCTTCCTGGAATCATGAAACATAATGAGTTATCTAGTGTTTGTCAGACGTTGTCGTTTTTTTCTACAACTGGCCTTGGTTTTGTCATTAATAATGGCGCAGTGGAATTTGAAAGATTATTCAACATGTTCAAAGAAAGTCGATACAAGTTTGGTTAATAGTACCTATCTTCAAATGCGCCTTAATGGTCTTCGAGTTACGCTAAAATGAGACAAGAAGAACAATGTAAAGAAGAAGTAAATATATATTTTGTATCTTAGCCTTTTTCGTGCCATAACTCGTCCGTTGAGAAAAAAATAAAATAAAAACAGCTTTCGTCAGTCTTAGGAAGACATACACATCAACTGACCAAGCTCTATGTCACATATCTGATCTACTCAATTTTAAATCTCCAAAATGTATAAAATATAATTTTCAAGATATAAGTTTTAACAACTACTGCAAGGCAAATTTGAAACATTTCTTAGTATTTACTGTACTATTATAATAACCCTACAATAATGGCTTTGTGAAATGACTCTTTGTTTACAGTTTACAATCGAAATAATCATCCACACAATTATAACAAAAGATACGGTCATATCATGTACTTTTCTATTTCTCATTATAATGGCATACAAATGAACCCTAGATTAAGATAAGAAAGTGTTAGATAGCTCTTACAGATACAAAGTTGTGATTGGTCCACAGCTCACCACATGAAATCGATAACGAGGATCGTAATAAGCATATTTTTGGACCACAAGGGATTTATAGTTTCCTTCGTGATTATACTTTCATTTTCATCCCGGGATTTTCATATAATCCCTTGGGAAAATATAACTCCCTTCGGTGATCTAAAAATTGATATATTACACACGTTACCAGTCAATATAATACACTTGTTTCCTTAAGCAACCCAGTCATTATCCGTTCCTTCAGATGTCAATGACCTCAGCCGCGTTTGCGTGCGCATCCAGCGCGCACGTCTCGACGAACCACGGAAATCTAAAGTCTCACGCATGCGCATGCGAAAGTTGTCGGATAGAAGCGCGTAGAGGAATGGGTTCAACGCACTGTTGAAGAAATAGGCGAGGTAGGTGAAGGGCACGTAGAGGATCCCGAACTTTGAAAAGTACGGGAAAGTCCCTACAACAGTCCACAGTGAAAGAAGTTCCATGGGGAAGAGGCAGACACCAAATGCTACAACCAACACCACTAACATCCGAATGACTTTCTTACGCGTTGCGATGGTTGATTTGGAAATCTTTTTAGGTCGGTTGGTCGTCCTGGAGTTTATGCTTTGATTGTCCGATGGAACCATTTCTACCAAGACCGTAGGTCGCCTGGTAAATTCAGCTAGCCTCGTATGGGCTTTCTTTGCACATCGCTTCACGGTGTTAGGCAATGAATTTGGCCTTTTTGGAGATTCAGAAGTATTCGGTTGTTCAGTGCAATCTGTCTTTGTGGTCGTATCTGGTGCTCCAGTCAGAAGTTCATCATCCTCAATAGTCGAGAGAAACTCGTATCCATTTTTGACTGGTATTTTGGCAGAGCTTCTCTGTCTGATGGGGCGTGGTTTGGAATACGAACTTTGATTTTCATTTGAATGTACCTCCGCACCTTCACTCTGACATCTCGGAGTCTGTCGTTGACGAATGCAGCTCGCTTCTACAGGCTTATTACCATCACCTAAGGCAACAGCGTTTCCGTTTCTCACGATTTCATTGATGAATTTCGCATGAACGCCGATATCAAGCTCGATATCTTCATCTTGGTCTTCCGAGTTAAGAGCTTTGCAAAACTGCTGGTGATGGTAGTGATCAATAGCTCCAGTGGATCGAGATTTACCTCGTGCAAGCTCGCTGTGTGATCCCCGACACTTCCCGCTACCTCCGAGGAGGAACATGTTCTCGCAAGACTTTGACCCCTTGAAAGCATCAGGGTGGCGACGGGGAGATGCGGGAGGGTAGTCAACAAAGAAAGGCCCAATCTTCAGCGAACCTGCATCTTCTGGATGTTCTGTGTGATCTGGGACTGTCTTGTTCTCTATTTTCCCGTTACTCTGTTCATTCACAAACTTCTTCTTGATCTCGCTGGTGTGGGCGTGGGCATGATGATGTCGATGTGAGTGTGTCTTTATACTACCACCTGTGTGCATGCGAACTTCCATCTCTACCGCGGTGGAGGGCGCGGCTGATTTTTCACCATGTCTTGATGTCCTGTAGTAAACTGCTCTTCCACGTAACCACAAACTGACGATGATCCTGGCGTAGAAGAACATCATCACAAAGAGCGGCAACACATAACAGATATTAAAGTTGAAAATATTATGGACACGAACTTGGTAGCTGGATATGTTGAGGCTGACGCCGCATTGCTTGGTGCCATTGGCATCCGTTGATTCATCAAAGAACTGAAATGTTGGAATACTTAGGAGAAAGCTAAGGAGCCATAGGAGACACAGAATGCAGGAGAGCCTACCGATGGTTAGTACTCGACGAATCCTCAACGGGTATATAATGGCGACGAAACGCTCGCCTGATATCGCTATCATGATGAAGATGGAGGCATTGGTCGTCACACCTAACATGTATTTATGTAGCTTGCACATCACCGGTCCGAGAGACCAAGTTGGTGAAACGAACCACATCATCTGGGGAATGATGCAGAAGATTGCAACCATCAGGTCGGCCACAGCAAGATTCGCCAGGAAGAAGTTCGTGACAGTACGCATGCTTCGGTTGCGGACAATGACGCAGATGACGAGGCAGTTGCCGCATATTGTCAGAGGGAAGAGAGGAATGAACGTCCCAAGAATGATGTTCCGAATCGGACCAGACACGTAGGGGTCTTCATAAGACTCTGTGTAGTTTTCATAGTCGTCCATCTTGAAAACAGCACCTGCAGTGTATGGTTATTAATGAAAACAAAGGAAATGAGTTAATGGCTGTAGAATTGTTTATTAGTAAAGCATATAGCACACGATATGCATATATGCTTTAATTTGTGTTAAAGGTACTACGTCCCATTTGCAGGCCAAACAAATGAAAAGGTTAAATTCGAACGGCATTTGAAAGAAAATACAAATTTAGAACTTTCCTTAAAAAAGGGAGCTTGAAAATAGCTTTAAGTTGGAAAATAACGACTATCAGTTATCGAATCGACTTAAGATCTATAGAGCCAGTAAGGAATAGTCTGAATTTCAGACCATTGTACCGAATGGTCGTACGTTTTATGCTGCGCAAAGATTCAACCGGTTTAACTTTGGCCATTACAAGAGGTGGGTTATTGATGTAGACAAATGCTCATGTACCCTTTACAGATCATGTTATGTATGTTATTACCAAAAAAGAAAAAAAAACAGTCAGTCACTCAATAGTGTCTGACAGTGAAGTCTAGCAAGTAAACGGGTTTCCTTGCATAATTTGAATATTAGGACACTGCTAACGTTTAAATTTCACAGATAGGACATACATGACATATTCGTTATTCCTGCAAAGTTCTACAGAATTTGATGTTGGCTGCAAAAGGGACATAGTATCTTTAAATGTGCCTATAGAAGGCGAAACAAATATAGCAATTAAAGGGAAAATTTAAGTGGAATATTTGTAATCAAATCAATTACGTATGAAGTTTAAAACAAAATCTTTGCAAATCTAAAGATTCATTCTCTATCACCCCTCTTAGCCATATTCGAGGGGAGAAACAATTCTGTCCCATGACGCAACGAGTTAAATTTCGTAATGTGTTGCTACATGGCTTGAAACATCGATGTCCATTCTCCCCTTTCATTCTTCGAGATCTATCAAATTCAAATTAAATGTGATATGTTGTTAAGATATAACGAATCCCGCGGGTATTCTTGGAAAAGCCAACTCTTCAATTGAATACATTAAATGGTAATTGAAATGAATATATGTTTGAATGCTACATGATTTATTAGAAAAAGAAATGTGAGCTATCTCTGATTCGGAATGCAACGAAATACGTTTCCGCCCTGAAGGTAATTTTGTTTTTCGATAGATCACCTTTATCAGTAAAGAAGACTTTGTATTTAATCTATATGTGGTGGAAATTCTTTGAATTGTAAAACCCGAAACAAAAGAAGATGATTCCCTTTTGATACCAAATTTTAAATGATCGAAGTTTTAATGTTTACTATCTAAATGATAGCTTTCATTTAATGTTCGACTCTATAATATAAAGTCGAACATATTATGTTACCTTTCAGTTCTTCGTTCTTTACCTTACAATAAACAGCAAATGTCAAACACCACCTGAATCATTGCATTCTCTCTTTTGTATATAAGAACCCACTTTTGTCTTGGTTGGTGTCAATTCATTTTCAAATCAGAATTGTAAATCGGTTGTTGACATCTTGACAACAGGACGACTGTAAAGACTTGGCCACACAGGTTCGGAGTACCTGAATATAATTTATTTAATTTAATTTATTTCTGATTAAATTATTTGATGTCTCATGTTAGGAGGCGACAGGTTTATAGAACCACCCTTCTCACTCTCTTTCCCTCTTTCTCCACCCCATTCCCTCTCTTTTTCTCTCTCTCTCTCTCTCTCTTTCCATACCTCCCCTCTCTCTTTTTCTCCCATATCTATGTCTCAATGTCCCTCCGTCTTTCTGTCGCTTTAGCTCTCTCTCTCTCTCTCTTACTAAGGTAAAGAAAAACATATTAAGTCTACAAGAACAATGAATTGAACACGAACCCAAGCAAAAATATTCGAACATCAATCTAATATTAGCCTTTGCTATCACTTTTTCGAAAAACGTAAACACTATAATGACGTATTACCTAATACGGACTTCATTTCTAGAGACATACGATATTGTCCTTATTAAAGTTGATTTCCTAAAAGTGTTTGTGACCTTAATATTATATGTCTATAATACATTTTATCAATATGATAAACATGGAATAATACATGAAGCGTATTACAATTCTAAAATATTTATGAATAACTAATTGTATCGATGGTACGCTTAAGAAACAAAGCAGCATATATACTAGTAAAATTCAATTCTCTGAAACAAATCTATCTTCCTATTCGTTTGCCAGTGTGTTTAGCATGCATAAAAAAGACTTTGGATGATTTCCATGTACCGAACACGTCCATGTTTTATCTTCATGTCAAGGGACGAACCCACGTGGGAAAAAAAAATCATCCCAAACGGTTAAACGAGAACTTCACTTACATTTTAATCCAATTGTTGAAGCAGGAAATATAATCAATAGGACTGCCCGAGGAATTACGGGTAATACATTACTGCGATGATTTCCCCTTGCAGGTACACATGGTATACAAATGTAATTACTTACCATGTCGGCCTAATATCGGACGGAGAAATAAAAGAAATATGTCCTGCCAATTTCCAATCAAATAACTCCGAGCATTTTAGATGTAGAGGCACAATGTAGCTGATCACATTTTGAGACACTTCAAGATCAAGGCTCTAAAACGATTTCACTTCCTCTTGAGGACTGATCAAGAACTGAATGATACTCGGATTCCATAGTCGCCTAGAATTTCCTTAAATATGCATGTTTGTAGAATATTGTTGCAATGATTTCTGTGTGTTTTTCCTAAACTTTGATCAGCCGTTGGCCTTTTCATCTCTTTATGATGCCCCTTGGACCCATTTATAGACCAATTTGGCCGAGTAACAACGTGTTTTTCTCCCATGATTTTGCAATCACGACCATGGGAATCCTAGTTAGCACCTTCTAATGAGTGTGATTAACACGTACAAAGTGTAAATAACCCCCCCCCCCACACACACACACACACACACACACACACAAAGCGCTAGGCAAAAACACTGAGTACCCTAATTTAAACTCATAAATCATAATTGTATTTACATTGTTTTGAAATGTTGACATATAGATAACTGAGCCAAAAGAGAAACATTCGACGCAGTTTCTGAATGTTTGTTATCGTATTTTAAAGTGAAGTGATGTTTACATAGTAAGGGTCACGTCCTTATTAGCAGTGGGACATTTACAGAATATTTCTTAATGACCTTGCGGAAAATAATTTAGTCAATTATGAAGGCTAGAATTTGATCAATTGTTAAAGCATTATTTTTGAAGGAGATTTGTGTATGTCTGATGTTTTGTATTTGTTTTTCTTTTAAAATTTCAATTCCTTCTCATTACAATTTGACGAACTGGCAATACAACATTTGTGACGCCTTATAACACTTTATGACGTCAATGTATGCCCTTCGCAAACTTTCGCCGATAACCGGTTTACAACCAACATGATGCGTGTTCATTATCCATGGCTTGTAGAATCTGCACCATTCTACATGATTACAATACGAGGATACAAGGGTTAATGCATCGAGGGATGATCAACTTTCCATGCGTGCTACCGCAGCTATCTGTGTGCATCGCCGCATCTGCGCTTCTCTTGGTCTTTCGACGCACTCAATCGGTTGGTAAATCGTCCATCTAGATGGTTTCTTCGTATGCTTCATATAGACCCTTTTTTGTTGATTCTTTGTTTCGGTAGATGTGTCTGTATAGCTTCAGTAATGAGCACAGACAAGTAGAGGATATACAAACAACTTCTTGATTTATTACGTGTTAGATTGTACATGACTCTTCAATCAGAGAGGATGCAATTTGAGTTCTTTGCTAGCTAGTAACGCAATATACGCATATTTTTTTATTTGGAAGCAAATCAGGTACACTCATAATATAGGATTCGGCCAGGTCATACAGCTTTTACATTTTAGCTTTTATTTGTTTGTTTAGAATAAACCGTTGCTATAGTGTCTTCAGCTTCTTTTCTTTCTTTTTTTTTGGGGGGGGGGATGTATTTATAATTCAACCAGTAGGCTTATGTAAAGTATTAAATGATCTAGTGAATAAGTCACCGGACTGTAACAATAGGTTGCAAGGTTCAAATCCCTGCCACAGCAATAACGTCCTTTGTCAAGACATTAATCAACAGTTGCCACACTCGACCCAGGTGAGGTAAATGGGAACCTGACACAAATACATTCCTCGAAATGCTAGAGCACCATAATGACAGCCATGCTGATGCCGGGGTAATACTTGCCATGTGCTAAACAAGAGTCCATATCAGTATTACTATATTAGTAGTATTATCTTCACTCTTAATTATGATCATTATTATAATAGTGATAATAATGATATTTATTATCATTATTATGAATGTTATTATTAGTGTAATTTTTTTTAAAGAAATTGTTAAGAAATACGAAGCTATATGTAAATGACCTTTGTATGAACCTCTTGACTTCATTGCGGCGTATAGTTTTGTATCGTAGTATGATATGAATCTTTCGAGTCCGGTAATATATAAATCTTCATTGGATTTTGTGGATATTGGACGTCAGGTCCTTTCATATTTCTGGGTATTAAGGATTTGTATTCATTATGGTAAAGCCATGTAAACGTGGGCTATTCGCCCGGAGTACTTTGAATGTTTTCCTATCGAGTTTGCTTACATTAATCAAGGTCCGAATCATAAGCTGGCGCCCGTAGCATTGTAAAGAAAATATGTATTGAATGAAAGCAGCAAATAAAGGATTCTCCTTTTTTCCATGAAATTTATAGTAACCGGCTCACGTATAACCTTTTTTGATGTTCAATTTTCCTATTTCAACTCGGTTGGCTGCGATCGTTTTTGTTTTCAGTCTAAATCCATGTGTAATAATTTTCTCAATTTGTCAGCCGTCTTCATTTCTGTTTTGCACTATGACTACTGAACATACAAACAAAACGTTCAGAATTACAGAATGGTTTGTATCAGTGTATTGTTCTATCATAGAAGATGTGTAAAAATGGGAAAGTATCCACTTTTCCGCTTCTTTTTTTTTTTTATATGTAAATTCCGTAATTAGCTAGCA